GCCATGTACTAGCCTCCTCTCAGTTTTTTTCTTACAGGTGGCCTTCTTAGCTCACTTCTATCTGTGATGTGGTAACTTAACATTTTAGGGTTCTTTTTTTCACACAGAAACTAAATTAGCCATCACAGTTGTTGTTTTTTTTTTATACTTGATTCATCTTGTAAAAATGATACATCTTAATGGAGATTTTAACTCACTGTTTGTACTCCTCTTTCATATGTTTCTTTGGATCACTGAGGAGGAACATGATATCCAAAACGGCAGAATTTCCACCTCTTCTCCGTGTGAGAATAGAAATATTACTTAAATTTGTTTTGTTGGTGAAACAGCTGCAGCGGAATTTCATTTGTCCAGTTTACTCAGGTATAGTGGAGTGCTTATAAATGAGCCTATGTGGCTGCTTCACACTCTGTTTATGTTAAATACAGGACAAGGAAGTATTGGACCTGGAGACATTGGGAGGGGGAGATATGTTTATATTAAGTCTGCTACTTTGCTCTCCATGGCAACTGTATCACAAAATCAATTCAGAAACAGGCAAGGTTCCTTCTTAAATATGGTTACGCTTTTTTTTTCTCCTGTGCTTGTATTGGGAGTTTTTCTCACAAGCTTCCTGCCTTAGCTTGTGGAAGCATTATTCTTGTTTAAATTTGTAATTTAATGTAAAGTTATCTGTTTTCGTGCCGACATTGCTCTTCAGCATAAAGAAACAATTCTTCATTCACTGACTTTCACAGTTCTGGGATTACATGCAAGAATAGGTGCTCCCTCAGTGAGTAACAGAGAGAATAGATAGCAAGAAACCACCAAAGTTTGACAGCACAAAAAGCATAACACACTGGGCAAATGCTAGGGGAGACAGCACTAACCTGCCCTTGCATACAGTGCAGCCATATAATGGCAAGCATAGTGCATGGATGAAGAAATTAGATTTTGTGAGGCAAATATGAAAGAATAGCTAAGTATTTGATCTCTAGTATTTGTTACAAGTACCTTTCCCAAAGTATTGTCTCTAGTATTGTACTATATCAGTAGTATGTGTAGATAGCATCATTATCCATTAGCAGACACCGTGTCCCTATATAAAGGTTTGTATTCTTGCTGCATTGGTTGGTTGGTTGGTTTTTGTAAGCAGCTGTTGAATGCTTCTGGTCACTTGGAGTCCATAGCATTAATGAAATCTTGCATGGCCTTTTAAGCAATAAAAATGCTCTACCTTATATAAGCTGGCTCTCTTTGCTGAGGTGGTAGTTCTGCTGGCATGTTCATTCCACTACGTAAAATCTACAACATTGCACTTCTGCTTAATACCTTTGTCTAACTCATCAACAGTGTACCATCCCTGCAGACCCAATCTCAACAGTGAGTTTCCAGTAGACTTCAAAGCAATGTGTAAAAATACATGTTTGTTTATTTTTAACACAACCATATTTATTTTAAAAGAAATTGTATTTACTAAATACCAGACAAATTCTTCTTCATTCACAGCTTTGTCTAGTTTTCCATATGATTTGCAATTGGACTAGAGATTAACCTACCTCAGTTCTCTTAGCACTACTCTTGTAGGGTAGATACATTTTTGAACTTCAGGGGTAAATTCTGTATCGTCTACAGATTTCCTTTAGCATTACATAGACTGCAGGCATTATCATTACCTGTTCATTTTCACTACTGTGACTAGCAGCAAGGTCATTTCCTACTTGATGTCAGGCTTTAGTACTGAATGAAGAAAAAGAACCATTCTCCAAGGGTCTACCTTGACAGGTGGAATGAATATGCCATTACTTCAAAGCCTTGACAAAATCTTGAGAAGGGGTTTGATGCAAGAAAAAACAGATGAGGTAAAATGACTTGTAAGAAAATAATAAAGAAATAAAGATCCCTGAAAGTGGTAAAATTTGGTTGAATGACTATTCAGTGAGTTGGATGAGAACTCCCCATTCATAATACTCATAGTTTTAGTACATGTGCATTTGCCAAGAAATGTGAAAATTCTATATCTGTGGCTGTTATCAGAACCCGAAACTGAATGAAAGGGATATAATTCATAAAGTGGACAAAATCTTGCTTACTTATTTGTCCACAGGAAGATAGGGACAAATCTTTCCATATAAAAATAATTTGATTTTTCTGCTGGATAAAGGCCAGAGGGCAAAGGCAGTTGCTCTTTTCTTACCATCAGTCATCATATGCAAAATTACAATCTCTTATTCCCTCTTCCTTTCTGTATGCCAATGTATCACACACTGAATATTGTTGTTTTCTGACTGCTGAGAAGCATCAGTGTTCTATCTAATAGCTATGATTCAGAGTTATTGAAGTCCCTTTTATGGTCTGACCTGTTCCAGGACTTCCCACTCTTATCACAGTACATGTGGAGATTACTCTGCAGCCAAGAAGACTTCTGACAGAGAAGATAATATAACAGGTGTAAATCTGATGGGCCTCCACAGATGTTATTGGCTGTTATGTCTCCTTTTCAACTTTGTTAAGGTTTGCATATCTGCAGTCAAACAGTATACATCAAAGTTCTACAGTGGGCTTTGAAAACCAAAAGCAAAGGCAGTTGAAAGCATATGAGAAGAAAATTAGATAAGCAAACTACTCTGTTTTTGTGGAGATGTTAAGAAATAGGCATCAGTGGCCACTCAGCACCTATGTGGATTAGAAACTTTTCCAAATAATTGCCACTGGAGGTGGAAGCCTGTAACTACAGCAAGTAGTAACCAGATGGTCTAACTCTGCAGCTTCTGGTGTGATGTTCCATTTTAGAACGTTCATTAGGTACCCTAACTTCATATTAACACCTGTATACAATATTCTTCTCTTACACATTTTTGGGGTTTTTTTTTATACAACTTTTTACTATTCACAATCCTTTGGAATGTTCTGATTATGGTAACCACTAGGACAGTTCTTCTCAAATGTGTTCCTTGAGTCTTTTTATATCAAACGCTCATCTGGGGTCTACCTGAAAGTTTCCCATTCCCTCTAAATGCTCTTTATTGTGAACTCAACTAATGAAATGTCAGTCCACAAATGAACTTTCACCTGAGTTTGCTGGTCCATATAATCTAAAAGAGCTGTATCTATTTATATAGAAAATCAGCATTAGAAGACTTACATAAAAATTGTAAAATCTCTGTTGTAGCACTTCCGTGTAAGATCCAAGCACCTTCTATAAGGTAAGTCAGCATAACATCTTTGCCAAATCTAGAATGTGCCATACTCCCATATTGTTAATAAGTTATTTTTTCTTTTTCTTTCCCTGTAGGATGGATTTCCATCCTTGTTTCAGCTTTTTGCATAGGCATGTTCCTATGCATTTGCAGATTAAATTTGACTAAATTAAGAGGCTTTCATCCAATATTGGGAATTTTCCAGACCTACAGGAAAACAAAAGGACTGCCAGTCTGAGTGCCTGCTCCTAATGTTGATGCAAAATCAGCCATGGTGGTTTATATTGGTTCAAGCAATTAAACTGTTGAAGGCAGCATAAAAATCCATTTTTGTGGCTGTGTCGGGTGGGAAGGAGGTGGTGTGTTTGGAAATGGTTGTTTCCAAACAGATCATGTGACTATGATCTTTGGCTTTTCCAACTGTCGTGGCTTGAGCCTGGTTGGCAGCCAACCACCATGCAGCCACTCACTCCTTCCTTCTCTTCCGGTGATGAGAAGGGGCAGATGAGCCAGGCTTGGGGTTCGAGGTAAGACTGGGAGGGGCAAATCACCCATTATAGTCACGGGCAGAAGACAGACTCGTTAGGGGAAGAAAAAAAAAGAACATACATTTATTACAGACACTAACAACAACACTTAACAGAGTAGGACAGTGAGAAGCATTGCCACATCTTGAGAACACCTTCCCCCCACCCCTCCCTTCTTCCCGGGCTCAGCTCTGCTCCTGATATCTCTACCTCCTCCCCCCAGCGGCGCAGGGGCAGGGAATGGGGAGTGCAGTCAGTGCTGCTGCTTTTTCCATCTTCAGTGGGGGGAGCTTCTGGAACTTCTCCCCCTGCTCCATTGTGGTCCCCCTCTCACAGCAGACAGTCCTCCACAAACTTTCTCTGACGTGAGTCCCTCCCACGGGCCGCAGCGTTTCCTTACACTGCTCTGCTGTGGGACACCAGCTTTCTCCGACTGGATTCCCTCCCACGGCTGCAGCCCTTCCCGAGCTGCTCCAGCGTGGGACACCCCCGCATGCTGCAATCCTCCCAGCGCTGAACTACAGCAGCGGGGCTGCCTTTTCCCACGAGAACCCAGCCTTCTTTGGGCACAGCACCTTGATTATTCCAAGAAGAAGCCACAGGCCATAAATCAATGTCTGCTCCACCGTAGATCTTCATGGCTGGGCGGGGGGGGGGGGGGGCTGCCCTGCCATCTCACCACAGGATACAGGGGGGTCTCTGCTCCGGCACACCTCTCCCCTCCTTTCTTCCTCCGTTCCTCCACTGACCTTGGTGTTCACGCAGCTGCCGCAGCTCCTCACAAGTCTGACTCCTCCTCACCACGTCCCTTCTTAAATATATTATTGCAGAGGCACAGCTGATGGGCTCAGTTTTGGTGCAGAGGTGGAGCTGACTTGGAGCTGGGGGAGCTTCGAGAAGCTTCTCACAGGGGGCCACCCCTATATCTCCCTCCCCTGCCACCAAAAAAACCCACCACTCACTGAAACCCAGAACACCAACACTAGAGCTCTTTGATTGAGTAATGAGAAGACAATTATTTCAGATGGCCAGAGTGGTCTCTGGAGTGTTTCTCTTTCATCTGCCAGTGAATCAATTTAATCAGCTATTGTATAGAATAAAATAAACTGTTCTGAAATTGCAACTTTAACTATACATGCTTCATAGAGCAATAAAACCAGTAGTAGCTACTCTATGTAGCAGCTACTTCCTACAGCAGCAGCAGCATGAGTTAAATGTAAATAAGATTGCGTTGTTTCTGGAATCTGAATTAATGAGTTTCCTGCTTTTGTCTCTTTCATTTTCCTCCTCTTAGCCTGTCCCCTTGGTTTCTTCAAAGTATCTGTGGGAGATGACCCCTGCCATCTATGCCCTGCCAACAGCCATGCTCCACTGACAGGTTCCAGTGAATGTGTGTGTCAGAACCACTACTATCGATCTGCTTCAGACAATCCTGATGCTCCCTGCACTGGTAGGTATTTGAATGGAGCATTTGAAAGCTTGGATGGACCAAGAAGGACAGTTAATGAGAGAGAATGTGCGTGAATGATTCCGGGGAGTTGCAATTCACGTCTTCTCATGACCTCTGAAATAACCCAAAACTTCCATTTGTTCCTCCATCTGACTCCAGGCTATATCCACTCACTGAATGTAGATGAGAAGGCAGAAGTGTTCCCACATGCTTTTTGCAATGTTGATACATTGGTAAAACTGTGTTTCGAGAATACTGGGATGTTGTAATACTAGATGCTCAGAAATTTTAAAAAAGTCAAATTTTAGATGACTCATTCAACCTTAACTAAGACCATTGCTAATATTTTCTTCCCTTTATCATAGAAAGTGTGAAGACCATATTTACAGCACAGATTTCAAATTCTGCAGTTTATTTATGGGAAAATAATTCATTTTTTCATTGGCATCTCTGTGGTTCCCATCAGTTATGACTTTGCACAGCCATTTATTATGAAAATTAATAAGTCACAAAAGAATAGTTAGGTGCAGAAAATGAAATAATATTGGTGCTTAGCACTCAAAAATATAGTTTAAATAGCACATGAAACATCACCCTTGAACTTTGTGAAAGTGACAGGGAAAAAAATTAAATTCCTAAATCATCTTCCAAACACTTTATGGCTCTGAAGTGAAACACTCAGAAATTAGGAAATGTGACTGTGGCTTTTTTTTCTGTAATTCCTTGCTTCTTATACTGCACAGAATCCATCTTCAGCAGCATCAAACAATCTTTACTTCACAGGGATTCTTCTTCCTGAGCAGTGGTCTATCCTTTGCATTGACTGTGATAAGAATCCTCAGGGAAAGCTAGTATGTGATCATACAATAAAATATCATATCACAGTGCAAATACTGAGTGGCCCAGTTAAGATCACAAAAGAAAATTACGTTCTGACGTTTCCTGATGCACAAATGCTTGCTTCATCTTGTTAGTTACACATTTTTTAAAGTCTTCTGTATGCAATTTTCCAGCATAATTTATTTTTTTTAACAACACTGCAAATGTGAGTCCCCAGGGAAATATAGCTATTGGAAATACTCAAATGCTCCAGCCATGAACTAGATTGCAGACAGAAAGATTCCCAGAAAAACCTCATCCACATGTACTAATAGAGGGTGTCATCCTTAATATCGATCAGCATTAGACAGAGAAAAGGCTTTGCCCATAGTTTTCATTAGTATTTCTTGACTATAGAGTGATGGTGAGAATACCTATTCTTCAATTTCATTACAGCCTTCGGATGGAAATGTTTGGTAAATCATGTTTCCCTTGCCCCTCCCTGTTACTGAGCTCAGCCTCCCTGTCCCTGCCCTTCCAGTCTTGCTTTGTGTCTATGCCCAGGTTTATCAGTGCAACACTGCTGCTTACTTTTACCCGTCTAATCTTTTCACTTTCTAGCTCCAGTGTATTGTCTCATTCTCATCCCCATGCCATCTTCTCACCCTCTGATTTTTCTTCCTCTTCACTGTCTCTGTGCCAGCAGGGGAGGTGGTAGATGCACAGAATGTGCAGTTTTTCAGCTGTCAGAGTTTGATCCCGATGCCATTCAGGAATCTGGCTGGCAGCAGGAATAATCATTGGGAAAATGGTGTTCAGTTCCTGCAATAGATGGAACAGGCTAACTGAAGTCTGAGAGAATTGAGAGGTACAGGGTGCCAAAGGAGAGAATTAGAGGTCTCAGTAAAGACAAATCTTAACTAAGCTTGTGCAAAATGTAAAATTTCAAAGGCTTGGAATTTTCCTAAACACTGGCTGCTCTTTTAGGGAAAAGTAAAAGTCACACCCATGAAAGAAAGACCCTTCTTCATAATTCTGTTTGTCTAAAATGTGATTGTATAGTTGCTCCTTCATGTATATAAGCATATGTTTGATACAGCAAAGAATATGTTTTTCTTAGCCTTGTTCAGAGAAACTACTAGAGAAGAGTAAGAATGAGAAGAAAAATCAACTTGTTCTTCTGTTCTTTTCCTCCCTGCTTTGTCTTCTTCCCTCCCCCACCTCTCACCTGTTCTTTCATGGGATTTTGATCTTTCATTCTGTCTTCCAGGCATCCCCTCTGCTCCCCGTGACCTTAGCTATGAAATTGTTGGCTCCAATGTGCTCCTGACCTGGCGACTCCCCAAGGACCTGGGTGGCCGCAAGGATGTTTTCTTCAATGTCATCTGCAAAGTATGCCCAGCAGGGTCCTCAGGGCCATGTGTGCGCTGTGGGGACAGTGTGCAATTTGAACCACGCCAGGTGGGCCTGACAGAAAGCCGCGTTCAAGTCTCCAATCTCTTGGCCCATGTGCAGTACACCTTTGAGATCCAAGCTGTCAACTTGGTGACTGAATTGAGTTCAGAAGCACCGCACTATGCCACCATCAATGTTAGCACCAGCCAGACAGGTGAGGAGATCCTGCATCTGAGCCCCAAAATTTTCACTTTTGACTCATTTGATTTGCTTTTATCTTCTGAATCCTGGAGCTTTCACTTCTTGTGTGTTGTGACTTTTTTTTATCTTGCCCAGTTCATTCCATGATTTCACTTCTGCCTTTCTCATCCTGCTTTCTCTGAATGGGCTTTCCTTTCTTCCTTCTTGGCAGAAAAACAGTTTAGCAGCTAACGTGGTTGTATATGGAGAAGAGTTGTTGGGGCAGAAGCTGCACTGGAGAAGATGGAAATGGGAGATGTAGTCCTGTGGGTCAGACAATGCATGTTACTTCATTGTGCAAGACAGGACACTATCAGGGTTTGACAGGGATTTTGTGAGCATCAGCTTGCCACAGCAGCTCTTAGTGAGCATTTCCTCTTCACCTTCTCTATCTCCTACTCTTCTCCATTTCATCTTCCTATACTTCAGTCAGTCTTTCCAGCATTTTTCACCTGTTCACTTTTTTGTCTTTCTGTGTTTTGAGATACACTTTTTCCATCCTTTCTTGTCCCTATACATCACTTTTCATTCCCCTCCTTTCACTTCATACTCTAGTGCACCTCTGCCTTGCTGCATATCAAAGTAAGGAAACTGGAAAATAGAGAGACAGGTAGGCACTGTCTAGAGATAAAGATACAGTTAAAGGTACAGATAGGCTCTGTACGACAAGAAAGAATGTATACATATTTGCTCATCACCTAAATATAAGTGTTACACTGTGCCATCTTGTGGGTCATAAAAGAATAGGAAAACTACAATTCTTACAATTCCTGGAGAGGTGTTAAATAGCATTTTGACAAAGGATCCATAAGCAGAATCACCATTCCTATTTTACTGAAATTGCTCTACCTTCTTCTGCGTTCCATGTATTTTCTTCTACCTTGTTTTGCCTTTTCAACCTTGCTGTTTTAATAAGTGGTCTTGGAATATTATTCTTCTGTCAATAGGAAACCAATATTATTCGATGTTTTTTTTGCCTTTTACACAGTAGAAATATTAAAATGTGTTGTACAGTCATATCAAAGGTGTTATGATCCTTGTAACTAGGAACTAAACTGCAGGCATGACTAAACTAAAATACTAATGGCTTGTGTAGTCAGTCAGAGGAAGGGGAGAGAGATTAAAGACTTGAAGAGTAGGTCAGACTGACGGATAGCATACAGAAGGCATATATATATATATGGAAGAAAATGGAGAACAGCATCAAGCAAATTCTGATTTTCTGTAAATATATACAAGCTACAGAGGGACACATGAATACAGGCATATAGTTCTGCTAAATGTCAGCAGTAAGAGACTGGGTATATGTTGTTCTTTACAATCATGTCTAAGCTAGTATGGAGAGGAATTGTACATAGCTTGGTTAAGAGGATAAAATGAGTAATGTGATGAGGAGGAGAAAGAGGGAGAACAATTTGAACTTAGTGACAGAAAATGTCTGTAAACATTTAGAGATGTGTAAGTATTAAACTCAAACAAAATCCTAATGATATTCCACAGTGTAGTCGTGGAAACCCCTGCATAACCAGGCTTCAATAAAGCTCAATAGAAATGCTGTGAAACCAGATGTGGCATTATGATCTTGGTTAAATCACATCTTGTCATTTCCGCTTTGATGCTGTGGAAAGGGAGGGCATATATATACACCCCAAGTAATTTCCTACTGGTAGCAAATGCCAGGGGTTTGACAACGTCTGTTTCTTCCCTTTGAAATGTTACCTGACATGCATTGTGTATCAGAGCGGGTATAGAATACCTGGTCCTCTTAAGAGGCTGGCTGCAAGTGGGCGATCAGTTCTTGTTTAAATAAAAAGATATGGATCAGTAATTTGTATGGTAATTCCAGGCAGTTCCTTTGGCTTCTGCTGAAGACAGGTTGGTCTTCTATTAACATCCTAAAGAATTTTCCTTCTTTTTCTCATCTCAGCCGTATTCATCTATATCTGAGGTACTTTAATTGAGTAGCTTCTTCCTTCTCCTGCCTGGAATCACTAAATCTACTCTCTTCTTTTGCTTCTGTTGGACTTTTCTGACCAGTCCTATTCCTCCAGGTGCTTTCTGGTCTCTTTGGGGGTGTTGGGCATGCACTGAAGCAGTTTCAAGGGAGGCCAACTTTCTTAAACATCAGTATGTACTGAATGGCTTCTTTCTGTGTTTGGGCTTGTTTTCTTTTTTTCCTTGCTCTTCCTCAAGATCTTTAGGAGTGAGCTTGAGATGAGCTGCCCTTGATTCATAGTGACAGCTCATACTAACGAGGCCCTGCTTCCTCCATCACGTGGCCTGTCTCATCCATACTTCCTCCCTCCCTTCAATCCCTTCAGCAGTTTTTCACTTTAGCATGGCTTATATTGTTCTTGTGTTGTTTTTGTTGTTATTATTATCATCATCATTATTATTATTGTTATCATTATTATTATTCCTATTCTTATTATACAAGCAGAGATGGACATTTCAGGGTCATATGTTCTGAAAGAGACAAAGAGGGGACAGGAAGGCATGAAAGGTATGAAAAAAGCAAACTGGAGAAAGATAAACTTTCAGAACAAATGATCATAGCAAAAATTATCTCTCTATTGAATTAAAGGTGACCAAAGAAAACCCTGAAAGTTTCTGAATATTCTGCTTATTCATATATCAGTTGGAGTTCTCTTCTTTGAGTTGCTGATCCAAAAAATCCTCCTCCCTACGTTCTGCTCCATTGTTAGAGGTATCTTAGGCAATATTCTGTGCTGAAACAGTTCTCCTTTTCTGTTTCCCCTGCTACCTCTTCATTCTTCATGTGTCTCTAAAACACTGTTCATCCAAGTTTGCTTGCCCTTAACAGTCTGCTAGCCCTGATTCAAAGTATAGTAGGATTCTTTTGTTATACAATCACATCTTTCCATGGAAGCCTCTTTATGATGTTCCTGCTCTTCAGGGACTATGTGTCTGAAGACATAATAAAAAGTACTGGTGCTGGAAAACTTCCGTTAATATATTAAATTAATCTGAATAATAGTAATTTAATCTGAAACCTGTTTGGATAGTAATTGTATGACATGCAAATATGATATGCAAATTACCAGAAGGAATAACAGTCCAGAGATGAAACAAGAGAGAAGGGAATTGCTCAGGTTTGAAGTGGTGAGGGTGAATACCTAAAGAAGTGAAAAGATGTGTGGAAAGATGTTGGGAAGCTGTTCTAGATAGCATGAACTACACGGGGAAAGTCTATTTATGTAACTGTAGTGGAATTACGGTTCTTTACAGAGGGGAGCCTGACACAAAGAAAACAAAGGACTTAAAATCCAACCATATTATTAAAACAAAAAAATTTAAACTGACTAAAATTTTAATGATTATTTTAACATCTTCGAGTGTACTTTTCAGAGTAAAAAAATACCTCTTCTCATGTCTTACAACAGAAGTCATGTTGTCATTTAAAGGACTGTGATAAAACTTTCTCTATGCACAGCTGTAACTACCTGTCCTTTTTTTTCTCCTACACCTTCCACTGAAGCATGTAGTAATGTCTGTTGCCAGAGACACGCTACTGAACTTACTCATTCAGGCAGTTGTTACATTCCCAGAAAGAAGAGGAAGAGATAAAGACCTCAGAGACTCAAATACTGGAACAAATCTATGTAGACTTTTAAAATCAAGTAGATTTTTTTTAACTGAATCCAGACATTATGAGAGCTAATGGAGATATGTGAGGATAAAGCTTATGTGACCAGGTTGCCTTGCACATGTGAAAAGATGTGTATCAGCCTTCTACAACAGTTGAATTCAAAGGAGTGGGACGTGGCAATACAAAAAAATTGTAGAACTGCAGAAATGAAAGCTAGACAGTCTGAAGGCTTCTGCGAGAGTCTGAATGGGGACAAGGACAGTTATGGGTTGTGCCAGGAAATTTAAGAGGACCTGACAGAAGATTTTTAGGTGAAATGGTGAGTGAAGAGGAAAAGAATTAAATGCTAAGTATGATTATGAAGGGAAGTGGATGAATTGCTTGAAAATGTTTGCTTCTCCAAGGACAGACAAAAGAGTTCAGTAGACTTAGTTGTCAAGAGCAGGGACAAGGGCAAGTCATTTTCTTGATCAAAACAGGAAAGAAATAAAAAGAGCTGTCATAGGCTACATACTACTGTATTTAGCCAGGCTAAAACTAGCAGGTAAAGGAAGTGGAGTGTGAACTCTGTGCATTGTCCTCCAAATGAACTACATTAATTTTCAAAGTAACAAGCTGTTTGTTTATTTGCAATCTAATTCCCAACTCTGAACACTTGACAAAAGTCCCTAGAAAAAATAGCTCTGTTGTTTTCTTCTTATGTAGGAACAACAAAAATACTCTTAAGGTTTAATTTTACTCATGGTGCCATTTGTCAGCTTTGCCAACTTCAGCAGATTTGCCCAGTTGTGACTGGGACTTAATACAAATTTTTATGGTCACTAAAATAAATTATTCCAGTTTCTCTCTTTACCATGCCCTATCTCTGCAGCATGAGCAGAGAATAATGTGCTTGTTTTCACATTTCAGATTTCAGCAACTCTTCAAATGAAGACAGAAACTTTTTCAAATAGAAATAGGAAGTGCATAATAAAGCATGACACCTTGTGGCATAAAGGATTTTTTCCTGTTTATTAGGCATAAATGAAACCCATACACAAAAACATAGTAATAATAGAGGTGAGGGAAGTGAAAATAACTAACAAATTTGCCATTCTAAAGCACTCTTTGTCCACAGGAAGTACAAGATTATGACAGAAGATAACCCAAGGTACTTTTAAAAGATTTTCAGCTATTTAGAGAAAATGTCAGAACTAAATTGAAGTCTGTGGAAAAGACATAGGACATTTTCAAAATAAAGATAATATATTAAACACATGAAGGTGGGAACTCCCATGCTGTATGCAGACTGATCATCCCTGAAGATAATATGTGGGAAGACGTGTGGAACAAAACGAGGGTCTTCATGGCATTTGCTTAGAATA